GAATAATTAGAAAAGGAATTCTGGTATTTTATTTCCTTAATTAACTCGTCTAACTTGATCTGTGGATGAGGACATTTAATACTTCCTTGAAACAATGTTTATTGCATTTTGAGGAGATTGCTGACACGTGAGAGATGCAAAAATGAAAATCTAAGAAAACAATAACAAAACAAATATCTCCTGGTGAATAAAAGGAAGCCACACACATAACAGACAGAGAAGAAAAATGTCAAGAGAGTTTGTGGTGATAAGAGCTGTCAACAGTGTTGTAGTGCTCTCAACAAAATCACATGATCTCCACAGATCATGTGTTAATGCGTCACTTCCTACCTCTGTCTGCTGCACCCGGCTGCTCCACCTCTGGCTTATGTGGAGGATTTGTTGCTCTTGTGTTGTGCACGTGTTAAAGGCAAAGTCTGGGTAGAATCCAGACCCAATTTATTTGACTTAACCCGCGGGTCAAGTCTGAAAAAGGCTATAGGTAACTTTAACCTTTGACTCCGCCTCACAACAGTTTGAAAAAATCTTTGTGCCCCTGATTTTTCCCCACAAAAGCAATAGCTCTCAATGCTCATCCACATATCTTCATATTTCAGTACATGCTTTGTGATTCCCCTGAAAAACCATTTTCCCTTCATTACTCAAATGAATGAGCCATAATCATCACGTTGACTGTTGAATGGTCTGCACCATTCCTTTCAGGGTTCGCAGCTCCTCCCACAGAGGTGGTTGAAGCAGTAACAGAGGGCTAACTGGTGGTTGCCTGTCCATCACATCTGCCCAAGGCTTGCGTCTCTCTAATGAGCCGCAATTTAATGACTTCCACATTTCCAGTACCACAATAGACATAGTTTTTCAACAAAGAAGTGTGCTGGCTGCAAGAGTATAATTGTGTTCAAAGTTAAGACAGTGTATTCATTGTATTTATTTGGTACTTCTGCTTAGTTTTTATTCTAGTGTTATTTCACTGCTGCTTACTGGGACCTCAGTACTTAGTTCTGCTCCCCCTCATGTACCTCATGTTTTGGAGTGACAATGAATCCCCTTCAATCTTGAATCTCGTATTGTTTGGATGAGACTATTGTGCTCTTGCAATCACAACTGACATTGAACTTCTTTTGGTTTGATGCTTTGTTGCTACAGAATTGGAATTTGCACCACATTTGTGACATGAACACTGGGAATTGTCCTGGACCTTTGGGTTTCTCTGTTACATATGACAAACCCAGCATGAGATTTTTCAGTCAGACGCATTCACAACAACACAAAAGTGTCCAGAGCATTCAGATGAGCGATGGTTCAGCATGTAGGAGGCAGGACATACATCCTACTGCAGAAATCACATATTTTTTGACTTACAACACAAATAACCAGACACTTTAGAATCTCATCTTTGTGTGTGGCTCCTCTTTTTCATCCTGAGATGGTTGCATTCCTGTAGTTTAGTTTTTAATAAATCCATCCATAACGTGTTAGAAGTCTCATCAACATCCTCCCAATAACCTACTGCTGTGTTCTCAGACATTTGTGTTCTTCAGACCACCCCTCCAGATAATGTTAGGAGATCATCTGGAGTTCAGTGCTTTTCTGAAAGCAGCTCAGGACAGACTTCTGTTTTAGTTTCGACCTTTGTGTTATTAAGTGTTTCAAAGCTAAGCCTAATGACATCATCACGTTTCTCATGCCATATAACATGCTTTTCTCTACTGATCAGCACTTTTACTGTTTAATATGCAATTCATGTGTAAAATTGACTCCTCCTCATTAACTAGCCCAATACGATGGTATACTAACTGCAAGGGTTTGATTTTTGATCCTTCATTATCCTATACGGTTTTGAATCACAGGCACAGATGACGCAGACAAAGCAGAACAAGGACTTAGAGCCCTGAATCACTTGAGTGCCACATTAAACTGGTGCCAATGTGCTGCAATGTGATGCATGTTCCTGAAAGTTTGAACACGTTGTGTTAAAGCTTGCAATCAGCAGGAAAAACTTGCTAGAAGCTACATCACAAGGAGCAATCAGTGTAATGGTCCAATGCAGCATGGGATTGATGTGTGCTTTCAAGGCTTACAGTGATAAGTAGGTTTTGTTTTGCGCGATGGAAGGAAGTGAAGAGCGTTAGTGCTTCACCTCTGCACTGCTCGTTGGCCTCTCCCAGGCTGTGCTCTCCGTCCTAATTCTCATCTCCTCAAAGCCTCAGCGAAGTGCTCGTGTCACTCAGTTCTAGGCTTTTCCTTTGATCAGGTCTAAACCTCATTATTATTTACCCCCTCCAACCGACGCTGTGCCGTGCTGCACTGCAACACGGATAAACCACTACATACAGCAGAGTCGTATCGACTTTGATCAATTATGTAATATTCGCTAATGGACTGTGTCCCTTCAGTGCACCCCCGCCATCCCTTTCTGCTCTGCTTTGTGCTTATCTTTCTCTGTTTGGTTCATTGTGACATCTGTGTGTAAAATGAGCTTTATATTATTTAATGGCTTGTAGATCTAGCGTAATATATTTGGGCAACAGATTTGTGTACTGCACAGGGTCATGCTAGCAATTAGTGTAATGGTCTTTCGCAGGGGCAGTGTTCAAAGTAATCCATAAACAGTATAAGATTGTACACTGTGCACCATACTTTAAATGGCAGCATTAAACAGGATGCGATGTGCAAATGCCTAATTAGAATTTTGGAAGGGATTAATGGCCCCTGCTAACAACAATGGGAACTATAAAAAAAGTGTTTACAGAATGCAAATAGGCTGATTAGTGATTACCCAAAATATTCTAGAGAGAATATACTTGTTTTATGAGACAATAATGTAGGAAGTTATAGCACTTAAATGCTTTATAGGTGTGAATTGTGTATTGATCACTTTAGTTTTATGTCTGCCATCCCTTGTTCATTTTCTCACAGTTTTTCTCTGCTGAATTGCTTTTGCATGCATGCACATAACTTGAAGACATATAGACTGTAGACTTAGTACTCTTCTTGAGACAGAAACATTTAAAAGAAAACTATTTGTTAACCTCTTGAATGTGATGCTCCTGAATGAGCTTTGAATGATAATTTGAGGTTTCCCCTCTCCACACTATACGTTTATGTCTCACTCTATGTCTAAGTAGAAATAATCATTTTGATAAATGTGAACTGGGTTATATAGAGATATGTATTAGCGTAGAAAGCTATGTTACACAACATTGTACAGATTAAAAAGGGAGGATTTCATTAAGGTCATCATTACAAAAAAAAAAAGATCTTGAATTTAAGTCACACATTTGAGCTTCCGGACCACCTGTCTGTCTGTCACCCATGACTTGGGTTTGCCTTTCTGTGTGGTTGTCTTTCTCTCTGTCGTGCCCAATAAACAGTGCACTTCATCATACTTCTTTCATCCAGTCTTCCAGTCATCCAACCCTGCTCGCAGCCATGCAGGTCCAGCTAAGCTCTGACTTTCGAAATACCATTCTCTCTTAACCCTCAGCTTTCATCTACCTAAAGCCTCATTTCCCCAGTATAACTTCACTTTATCACTTGTGTTCTGCATTGAAATTAGTTTTATCCATACACCCAACAGAGTCTGGGCTATAATGAAGCATTTTCTCATTGCTAAATCGAATTGCGAAATGTAACCCACTCATTTTTGTCGTCCACTGTAGCAGGTTTCTTGGCAAACAAAAAACTAATTTCTCCTTAATTAGTTTGTCACTTTTATCTTGTAAATTTTCCTGTAAACTTTAGTGTTTAGTGTTTGCCAGCTCAACCTACAGACAACCTAATACACCTTCATAACATTCTCATTCTGCAAAATTGTGCATTGAAATTGCTCTTAATTCCTTTTTTTTTTTAAAAGCGATATTCCCAGATAAGAAATTAGATGTTTGTGGAGAGTGAGTGAAAAAAGTAAGAAGCTTTATGCATCCATGAAATGTTTGGTATCTAAAACAGATGAAACAATTGAATGTAAATAGAATTTGTCAATTGGTTCAGTGTCAATTGTCAATTAGTCATTTGTACATATAATTCTACACTTTTCTTTACCTGCAAATCACTGTATCATTGTTATAACATAACTGCACATCATCTGTGAAAATGATATAAAATCCATAAACCTGCTCAAGTACATTAAGAATTTTTATGTTCAGCAGCAGTTTGACGGTAGAGTTGGCTGAAGGATTCAGTGCAGAGTCCTGGTCGGACTTCCCGTGATCTATTTTCATTTGTCTTCCACTCAGCACTCCTACTTCTCATGACTTATGAGCCTGATGCATCTTTGCGACTCTTCACACTTACATAATGCAAAATCACCCATAAAGCTCCGTCATGCATTTATAATCTGTTCCATTCCTGCCCTGGGTGTGTGTGTTTTGGCATCCCTAATACTTCAAACAGCTCGGAGTGGAATGTATTGTCTGAGGAACTGAGGTGTGACACAAAGCGCAGTGTTTCTTCTGTTCCACTGCTTCCAGAAAATCCCAGTTTACTCATCTTTATCATTCGAGTTTAATCATTTCTTCACTTTTTTTGTTCTCCCAAACCGCGTTAGCATGCTAATGTTTGCTAATTATCACTACACAGAAAGTACACCTGAGGCTGGTGGGAAAACTAGTAGTTGTGCAGGTATTTGTGTTGAAGACAGTTATTTTACCTTATGAGGTACGCTGTACATACAAAGCAAGAGGTTTAGGAATAATCATTCTGGAAATAATGCATATCTGTTCTGATGGTCATGGAAATTCATCCTATAGTTGAGACATTTCATCTGGTGTACATTCCCCTGTCTCATCAAAACAGTTTGAAACTGGATGAAACTAATTAACATTGACACATCGCATTCATTATCCGGCTATTAGTTATTGAACCCACACCATGACATGTCTCTGATTCAATACATTTCTCTGTCCCAGTGGGTTTTTGTCGTGATGTTGGCAACGGTTGCTAGGAAATGTGCATTGAAACTGCAAAGCCTCTCATTCAGTCCCCTCTGTATTTACTTGCAGAAATCTCTGGGAACTCAGAAGACATCCCTCTGGTACGCTGGAGGCAGCAGTGGCTGGAGAATGGCACTCTGCTCTTCCACATCCACCACCAGGACGGCAGCCTGAACCTCCCAGAACCGACAGAAGACCCCGCCAATGACTCTGCCAAGGAGGAGCTCCGCATCCTGCACATCTCCGTCATGGTAACAATTCCTGCTTCTGTTAAAAACTGTTCTGAAGTAAAATTCAATTTTCTCTTGACATAACTCACAAAAGAAAAAAGGTAATTCCTGAAAATCGTATAAATCAAAAAGCAAAGGTTGACTGCATTACCATTTCATTAACAAATAAATTCAATTCAATGAATACATGAAATTATAAACAACCTCAGGGATATCGTCTTTGATATAACACATCCCGCCCTCTTGTTTTGTTTCCCTTTATATTACATGTCCTGCACCCTGTATGACAGGGTATGGACATGTGCAAAATGAAGTATTTGTATATGTTACACAGTACTTACATAAAAATAGATGGAGATTCTTCCTTTTTTTAGGCCATCCAGAAACTGCAGTCTATAAGCAGTAAAAACATGTTGTACGTCTGTGTGGAATATGATATATTTATAAAGTTTGATATTTCCGTTTCAGCATGTATATTTTTTGCATGCCTGCACTGTATCAAACCTTATCTGCTATGTCGGCAGAGTGGGAAATGAATCCTTAGATCTCACAGCTTCCTCCTCTTGCCTGAGGAAATGTATATTTATTAGATCTTAGATATGCCACACCTACTCCCTGTGCCCTTTTCCAGCCCAAAGACATTACAATCGTGCTTTGATGGATGATATGTATTTTCAGACATTGAAAGCATATTATAGCTGCATACACAAATGATTAGTCAGCTCCAGACTTTTGCCTGCAGCTACATCTGCTGAACGGAGGCAGGGAGGCGCACATCGATGCCCGCTGAATGCCAACGACCTTTAGACCTTGTAAAAATAACAAATACCTGACCTTGACTATCCCCTGCATGTTTTGCATGAATTAGCAAACTTCAATGCGATCTACGGGACATGCAGGTTCAATCGGTGACAACATTTCTATGTGGAAACAAGGTAGCCAGTGTGGCGGTTCAGCTTCTTACCTCTTTGATTTTCCTCTAATCTCCCTTTTTTCCTTCCTGCTCTATCTGCATTTCACATCCCATCAACTTCAGGTTCGGGTCTTTGTGCTCGCTGCTCTGCTAATTCCTCATCCTGAAAGAGCTGTGGCAGTAGCCCTGCCACCAGGCTATTTTCATTAAGGTGTTGGTACAGAGGGATTAGCATGCAGATATAAGCAGACCGTGACAACAGATGGAAGCAGTGTTGCCACTGTGATCACCAGGCCCTGCTGCAGCTTGCCACCCTGCTGGAGGCCCTGACCTATAAATCCAAAGCCATGTCACTTATTCAGCTCCTTGTGGATACAAAAAGGGGTCCCGTGAAGGCTGTGTTACAGGTTTTTTTTAGACTGAGCCAACACCTGTCACTGGACCTCTTTCCTTTGTGTATCACAGGAGGCTGCAGGGCAGAAGCCGTCAGCACAGGTCAAAGTGTGGATAAAGAAGCAGTGGTATACACTTTTGGATGTCTTAATTGTTTTAGATCTCATTAAAATCTTTGGAAACAGTAATGGTATAAAAGCATATAATCTGTATATGCCTATGTCATTAACAGCAGTGAGGGACATTATGTAGGAACATTACAAATCTGTCTTTGGTTCAACTTTGGCTTTGACAATTATATCTATTAAACATAATAAAATTCTGCTCAAAGTAACTGCACCATTGGCACCATTGTTACAACAGTGAGCGACAACAATGACACATCATCCCACAAACCTTTTTCAGGAATAGCACAAATTATGTAATATTTATGTTTTGTTTTACACAAGCATTTCTTTTGTCAAGTGTGTGTAAGAGTGCTCTTTAGTATGCGTAGATTATGTTCTTACATAAGCATAAATCTCAGATAAAAAAACAATGGTGAATGTCAGAATCTTCCAAAAACTGTGTGAGTGGGCTTTAAAGATTCAGTGTGTAGAATTTAGTGCCATCTAGTGGTGAAGTTGCATGTTGCAGCTGAATACCCCTCACTTCTCCTTTACAAACATGACAGAGAACCTGTGGGAGCCGTCAATTGTCATAAAAACTCAAAAGTGGCCGAATAAATTGGGGGAGGAAAAATAAGACAGTAGATGGAGGTAATGCACCTTGCTGTTGGTTGCCACCCACCAATAGACCGAACAAAGAAGAGAATGGGATGCAACTCACAAGGTAGACACCTTTATGCAGTACAGCAGGAAATGAGCACAGTGAGGACAATAAAAAGGATCAAAGAGGATAACTTCTTGACTAGGTAGAGTATAGGACATACTAGACTCATAATACACTTAATAAACAGACATCCAACAGGATTATGTGATCACTGTCAAATGGAGGAATCAGTGGAGCAAGAAGAAGAAGTATGATATTGAATCACTCATATGATGGCTTGGTTGCCACCCACCAATGAACCAAGCGAAGAACAAGAACAAGAAAGTTGGCATTTCATTTTCTGTTGACAATTGACTAATTTATTGATAATCTGATGAATTGTTTTACCTCAAAATCCACTATATTTACATTCTGTTCACAGAAGTAAGTGTACAGCCAGTAAGTGTTATTAGGACGTCCTTGTTTGCTTTTGAAATTTGTGTTAAGAGTTTTCTTGTTCAGCGCTGCAGCCCTCTTTTTATCAAACCCACAAATTGAACTGTCCCCAGGTCTGCACATGTTGACCATAGGCCAGGAAGCAGAACATCTAATCTGCCGCAGTTCGTTGCCTGGCCACAGTGCTCCCCACAAGTCAGTTTATGCCTAATGGATGAGTTGGGACTGCAGTATTTTTAGGCTTGAAGACAAGCCAGACTTATCATGGGCCTGAACCTACAGGGAAATCAGGTTCAGTGAACTGCACCAAAACTGGGGTCTGAAGCCAGAAAAGGGATTTTTTTGTCTCTAGGAAAAGCCAACATGTAATCTGACCCAAGAACTTAGATATTCTGCTCAGTTTTTGATGGAAGACGATATCCATCTATTCGCTGAGACATTTTAAACTGTTATCGTCCACTTTTTGATGTGCACTGTTCTAGGTAAAGGTTCCTCCCCACACTTTCACATTCAACAAGGTGACAGTAGTGTCCTCCACTGGACATCCATAATAGATGACTAACCTTGTGTATGTCTGTACCGACACCAGGTGAGACACTGACAGTTCAAACTTCAGCTTGAGCCCCAAAGGCCTCTAAACTAAAAGTAAATCCCAACACGGCAATGTGAAGACAAATAAAACCACTGTGTAGTTAAGAGAGTTTCACATATTAAGAGTGGCCTGATTGGTTTGTTCCGAGTCTAAAGCTCCAGTGTGTCATTGTTTTCACCTTTTTAATTTCACCAATTTTCATCAGTTGCTGTTTTGCTGCAGGGCTTCAATGGATCAGTCCAATCATCACATGCAGTACAGGGACTTTAACACCAACCCCAGTCAATTACATGATATTAAAGAGTGATCTAGTTTTCAGACATGGCTTTGGATTTTATGTTCCCCTCTTCAAGCTGCATTCCTTCTCTCCCCAGAGATCATTGAGTACATTTTTTTTAATTTGACCCAACGTCACAGTTCAAGGTACAGTGTGTAGAATTTTGTGATATCTAGTGTTGAAGTTGCATGTTGCAGCTGAACACTCCTCACCTCACCCTCTCCTTCCAAACATGGAAAAGAACCTGTGGTAGCTTCAGTTGTCATAAAAACTCAAAAGGTGTTTAGTTTGTTCAGTCTGGACTAATGTAAAAAACATGGCGGCCTCCGCAGAGAGGGTCTCCTTGATGTAAATATAAAGTATTTGAATATAAAGGACCTTTTCTGGGGTAAAGAAAACTACAATTCATACAATTTAGAAGAAGCAAACTTGTGAAAAAATCATGAGGATTATTCTACATTAAATTTCTCACAATAGTTCCCTTTCACCTAAATCTTACACACTGGATCATCCAACTCAAATGTATGAAAAACAATAATAATTCTAATAAACAATCCAATAAATATTGTTTACATTGATGATGCAAAAAAAAGCGCAAAATCCAAAATAGTTCCAGGTTTGGACCACATCACTTCTGTCACTCTGTATTCGGCTGAATGATGTACATATTGGCCAAGATGACCAGATTTGGTTTGTTGTGGATCAGTAGTGTGAAAGTAGCCCCTCCCTGTGCCCACTCAACCGGAAAGGTGAGGAGCAGTCGAGTCTGTGAGAGCCGTATGGTGTTGGATGTTAACGGAAGCAGATACCGCCAGGCAGCTCCTTTGTTTTAGTCTGCTTTGTGCTGGCAGACATTCAGTACTGGGGGTTGAATAGAAACAATACACAATGATTCCACTTATTTGGGTTTGTAAATTACATGAATGGTGAAGTTTCTCACACCATTGTTCCTGATCCCATTTTATAGTGTTCAGACGTTATTTTGTCAAAATCATATTTTCTTTCTGCGGAGATGCTCAAGTTATTCTTTACATTTGACCTTAAAAGTTGTGAAAAGGGGATTTGGATAAGTAGAGAGAGGAACACTGTAGGAACAATCTGACAGAGGTGGGGCAGTGGACTCCAGGAGGAGGGTTGTGGTGTTGGGGTTATTACTTAATACATTTATAGATACGCACAGTATGATTTGCAACAAAAAACACATTTTGAAACAGATGTAATAATAATAAAGTTACATTTGATGCAACATTGTCCTTGCAGTGTAGAAACGTTTTGAAACAGCATTCACACTATAGGATGAGGAGGTGTGCCTCATTTTGCACAATTGCAAACAAACAGGGTTTTCTGTTCTCTTTGGGCCTTACAAATATTTGAAAATGTGCAGGTTTTTAAATAAAAAAGGAAATACACCAATGGTCTTTATTTAATTAAACGACAGCTCCCAGATTCATTTGTCTCAGAGCACTACTTCTGTGATTGTGGTAAACACTTCACGTCCCTTTAAACAACTTTAAAGTAACGTTTGTCTTGATAAAACAGTATAACAAGATTTCTTTAGATCACTTGAGGACGTACACAACCATGGTAAGATACAGGCCTGGAAAGTCCCAGTGGTGCAAATCCTCAGAAAAATTGAGCAT